ATTTCAGAAGTCAGTCTTATTTTTACAGGAAGAGATTTTTATTTTCATTATCATCTTCCAGCTGACTCTGAGATTGATATAGCAGAGATAGTTGGAATCTCTTCACCAGTGACTTCAGAGTTTTATATAAAATTTCAAGCAAAGAGAAACATATCACAGGCATTGAGAACTGGAAGGACACTATGGAGATCTTCCTAGCCCAGACTTTCCATTTTATAAATAAGGAATGGGAGTGTCCAATAATTAACTCAGCCCTTGTCTCTTAAGTTTTCAGTGCCTACAGCATTTTATGTTGTTGTAGATAATGAATTTATAAAATAAAAACTATTACGTTGATATACAAGGCCCATTCTCAAACATCTACTTTAGTTGGAGGTAGGAAAAGGATACAGTTAATTTACTTGGAAATTTTCTAATAAAACCTTTAACCTAAGCTATTAACTCAAAGATGTTCTAAAATTCAAGATGGTAAGTCCATGAATTTAGATAGTCCTTTTTTTAAATTTAATTTTATTATGTTATGTTAGTCACCATACAATATATCATTAGTTTTTGATGTAGTGATAGTCCTTGAATAAGACAGAAACCTAAAATAAATCAAGGGATTTTATTTTAATTCTAGGTTTTATAAAACCATTTTTTTTAATTGGCATCAGGCTGATTAGGCTTGGAGAACTTTCAGTAACCAATGAAAAGGGTTGTCAGCAGAAAGCCTTTAGAGTATTTTTAATTAAAATCATTGGCAGGGGTGCCTGGGTGGCTCAGTTAAGTGTCTGACTCTTGGTTTCGGCTCAGGTCATGATCTCCGGGTCCTGGGATTGAGTCCCGCATTGGACTCCATGCTCAGCAGGGAGTCTGCTCAAAACATTGCTTTAAAGGCAAATAAAGAAATGTTCATCTTAATACCTTTGCATCTCTGTATTTGCATTTCTGCTATTACTAAAAATCCTGGCTTATTATCTTCAACCATGTTTTACACTACAACCATGTCTGGCAAGAGTTTAAAAACTCTCAGCAGGACATCAATGATATAGAATAGATAAATACATACATAATGATCACTTTCTCTCTTTCAGCATCTGTGACTAGAGATAGAGAAATATACAACATAAACATGTACTCTCATGTTCAAGGAGAGGAGGATTCTGGGCACATTAATTTTAGCTTTAAGATATCTGGGCTTATATTTCAGAACAATGCAAAAACAGTCAAAAGAAACATAGCAAAATATTCAGGAAATGGAAATGACATGTATAAACTTACATGTGCCATAAAATGTCCCTTACTCCTGGCAAAGAAAATAATTTACTAAATAATGACAAAACTACAGAACTTCTGAGCTCATCTAGATATATTTTTACATTTAAACACCTAATGCCAAGTTTAATATAAAATAACATAGTAAATTATAAAGCACATGAATATTATACCCTTTCCACAGTATATATGATTTCAGTTAAATGGGGGAAAAGATGGTTTCAAATCACTAAAATTATGTGTAAGTTTAAAGTATTATCTATAATTAATTTCTGACTATCCTATTTCCTAACTATAATAAAGGTAAAATTACATTCATCAGGGTCACAAGCATTTAGAAAAAAAAAACTGTGTAAATTTCAACAAGCATATTTATAAAAGATTTAGAGGACACAGAGGGTCATTTGAGTTTTTAAATAAGTCAGTCCAGAGTATGTTTGATTTGTTTTCTTTTCCCATCTTAAGCATCCACATAGCAAAGGTTATTATTCTTCCTAACTTTTGGAAACAAAGTATTTCTATTTTCTTATGCTGCCTTCTCATCAACTTAAGCATCCTCAGCTTGTGTCCAGGTATTATTCAAGCCAACCTTGACTTTGAAATGCAAGAGAACAGCCTCACAGCTGATTTTTTCCCATATTTTGATCTCTTGCCATGCTACTGCTTCAAAAGGTCAAAATCCCTCAAAGGTTTGACCTGAATAGCAGTCAAAAATTCAGGCACACAATGTTCCTTATAAGAGCACAATCAGATGCCTTGTCATTTCGGTCATAATTCCTATATCCTATTGGATTTTAACCGTTACCAGATTTTGCTCGTTCTTTAAACCAATCACTTAAAAGAATTTTTAGGAGATTGCAATATTGTATCATTAATGGGACAGATTCTCACATCCTCCCCCGGCCCCCACAAACATACCAGAAAGTGTGCATACAAGAGAGCTTTGTTCTTCAAAGTCAGAACCTTGCCCTCAATATTCTTGGGCTTTTTCCCATGTAATTTTGATCGAGTTCAATTTTACATTTAAGAAAGAAAATCTAGGGCTTTTTTTAGTTATGATACTATTGCATGGTTCTCTCCATCTCCTTTTCATTACTCTGTCCTTGCGTAGCTTTGTTTTTATCTTTCTAAGAGTCCCAACCCACCCCAGCAATGATTTGGATTGGGCCTATGATAGTTCCTTTTGGGGAAAAAAAAAATGAGCAAAACCTGAAATATGAACTGTAGAAAAGCTGAAGCTTAGTATTCTAAAAAGCAACTTGCCTAATATAAGTCTACTTACCTGCTTCCAACCTGGTATAGTAGTGCATAAATGTGTGAAAATAAAAATTTAAAAAATGATACTGAACTACAAAAGCCCTCCAGACTCACTAAACAGTATGCTCTGTATATCAAGAGCACCAGAGTTCTTTTTTTCCCCAAAATGCTTTCATGTCTATGACTTTATTTCATCCTCATCACATCCCAATGGGCAAATACAGTGGATACATGTTGTACTGTATGTTGAACATCATTTTATAAAGAACTATATGAACCAGAGCTAGTAGTGTTTTATTACAAGTTTTGAAAAGTTCAAAAATAGGAAGGTGAGTAAGTGCCCTGGGTGGTAGTCTTATAATTTTAGACCGTTAAAAATAAGGTTTCTGAGTTGTTTTTGTTTTTTTACCAACTAGGATAACAAATCAGTAACGTTTTGATGATATATACAACGCTCCTTAGAAAGTAGGCTCATTCCAAGAAAGTGAGTATATTTAAATACAGCATTGATAGGAGGGTCTCTATTTTCCCCATTTTAGGCAGCACTGTGGAAAAACCCACAATGTGGGGATGGACACATATGCCACTGTCTTGTTAATTCAGTGTTTTTTTTTTGTTTGTTTTTTTTAAAGATTTTATTTATTTATTTGAGAGAGAGAGAGAATGAGAGATAGAGAGCACGAGAGGGAAGAGGGTCAGAGGGAGAAGCAGACTCCCTGCTGAGCGGGGAGCCCGATGTGGGACTCGATCCCAGGACTCCAGGATCATGACCTGAGCCGAAGGCAGTCGCTTAACCAACTGAGCCACCCAGGCGCCCTAATTCAGTGTTTTTTAAAAATAGGTTCTGTAGACTGTAACAAAGGCTGCAAGCAGATTACTGGTTTACTGAATGAGATTCTCTGAGCATAAGATCCAGAACCAAGCATTTTAATCAGTTTCCCAGGTGATTATTATGCAGATACAAGTTTGAAAACCACTGTATATAATGCAAGTGAACAAAAGCGTGACCTATTGGTAACAGTTACATGTCCATAAATATACCCTTTTAAAGGGATGCATTTCTAAATAACTTTCTTTGCAAGGCAATGCCAATCCTTCTGAACATGGTAAGTGACCATTTTATAGCAGCAATAATCTATGGAACCAATGGGTACATATTGGAATGATATCACTGATGGTTTGAAAAGTACCAAATTTTCTAATGCTTCACAATTTATTACATAAATGCCAGTGTTAAGGCAAAGTAACCATGGCCAGATCATATACAATAAGATGAATCATGATGTGGTTTTAGAATCACTATTAGATCAAACAACTGATAAAAATATATTCAGTGGAAAACAGAATTTTTATTTATGTCAAATGACTGCATAGGACATAATTACAACTTACATTCCTTCAAATTTAATATTTTAAGTATGAATTTAATTTCAGAAGGGAGGCTGAAGTGTGATTGAAAATCATATATGTTGCTTGATCCTGTTTTCTTAAATTATATTTCTGGATGCAATACTTTAAACTTCATTGCATCTTTCAACAAACATTTCCTAAGTGCTACTTATCAGATGTCAAGTGTCAGGAAGACAAATTCCCTGCATTGTCTCATAACAAAGGAGATAACTGCCTAAAGCTACTGAATGTGGTCACTGCTTTAATAGAGATGTACGCACGGTGCATTGAGCCATAAATTGCGACTGATTAGTAAAGGTTAGCTTCTATAATGGAAAATAATATGGCAGAATATGTTAAATACTATTATATATAAAGTTAGTATTTTGAATGATGACCCATGATTCCACCATCTAATAATATCAGATAATAAAAGTTTCTACTTTAAAACCACCCCATTTTCTTTAAAGTACCAAAACTTTTAAAATGCTTAACATAAAACCACGTGATGACACTACAAATGGAACACAGATGCTTTCCTAATCCACAGTCTTTGTGTTTGTGTTATGAATCAATTGTCTGTGGCAGAAAGAACATCCAATGATTAGATCCTACTTGAAGTAATAGAACGAGGTCTTCCATGAAATCAAAGGACCTGAGCCCTAACCATGCTCCTATCACTAACTTCATTTGGACAATTCATTTTTCCTCCCTATGTTTCATTTTCCTTTTAAAATGTAGGGACCAACGAATAGCCCTCCAGTTTCTAGAAATCTAGGATTTGGGCTTAGGTTGTGAGACATAGTCCCCAAGAATTTGGTCCAATTGCTCTAAGTCACTCCCATCCTAATTCCCACTGAACTGGAAGGGGCTGCACTCTAAGACAGTAACTAGTTCAGTCAGTTAGCACTCACTCCTTCACCTCTCCCACATTCTCCAATATCAAGACAACCAAGGGACCCATGTTTTTATTCAACTGAATACTTGACAAGGACTAGGCCAGTGATATATTTTGTAGGGTTAATAACACTGCTCTCTTAATGAAAATTTCAAAAATCTAAAGGATGACTTATTACAGGGTAATTAGTATCACTAACCTGTGCTGAACTTTTTTCAAGTTTTTGGACTAAATTATCCCAGCGCTGGGCAAAGTTGTCCAGCCACGCTTCCATCTTTTGGGCTACCAATGTGTTTTTCAGTGTTGAAAGAAGATCTTGGTTGAGTGAGCAGAGTTTGTCCATAGTTTGCTTCTTCTTTTCCAGATCTGTTTTTAAGGCCTGTTAAAACAGGAAAGAACACGCAATAAGCCTAGGTTACATTTTCTAAAACACTATATAGTTCATATTGCTTTTGCATGTATTTTCTCATTTGTATAGATAAGACTGTAATCGTGCCTGCAAAGGATCAAGAGCCCATAAGAATATAAGTAGAAAATTGTAATCCAAATAATCTTCCCAAGAAGCTTGAAGAAAAAAAAAAAGTCAGATGTAGCATAAACACCTAGTAGAGAAACTTAAGAGCTATTTAAAATATTTAAGGAACTTCCAAGTAAAAAAGTAGTGTCGCTCAAAGGGCAGTTTACTGACTTTTAAAATTTTTTTAGCATCTGTTATTCAATTAACATTTGGCTATCTGAGTAATTATCCTCTAAAGCTAATTTTAAAGCCCATTAAGTAATAGAACTAAGTAATTGAGTGTGACACAAATCCTTTGGAATCACTTCGCATGTTTTCTAAATACATATGTGTTTTATGGAGTAATTTTCATAACATTCATTTTTTCAAAGTTCCTGTGAGTTATGAGGAGTCACACATGCCCTCTGGTTGCTATGGAATGAATAAACAAAGTGGCTTGTATGAAATCAGTAGATCAGGACAGCTTATTCTTTCATTTTATCCATTAAGGTTACCCTGCCCTTTGGAAAATCCAATTTCCAGCTCCCAAATAATAGTCCCTGACTTAATTTGTAGACACAGAATAAGAAGAAAGGAGAAAATTATTTTACAGTCCCTCTGCAATCCCCTCTTTCTAGCAATAGCAAGTACAATAAACAAACTAAACAGTGAGACCTGTCTTTCCAAAACAATTGTGAATTTAAGAACTGATATTACACATGGCAAAAAAATTATCACAAAACAGATGTACCGATTGCTCATGAACTGAAGTGTCATACACACAAAGAAATCAAAGGATACTTTATGTAGCTCATTTGGGCATGCCAACTGCACTGATAGCTCTGAGCTGCAGAAGGCTCTGGTGTCTCCTTCAATTAGCTCATCCTTTATTCAGAATCTGCTTTACCTGGTGTACTTTACATTGGATTCTTAGTGCATGCTGTTTTTAAGATATAAAAGCTAGTTTGAAGTTCTTTCCTATTTTTCCTCAACAGTTAAGGTTTTTTTTCACTATTTTTTCTCAGTTTGAAAGAATGCAATAAATCAAAATATGAGTTAAGATTTCTAAGGAGAATTCATACGAAAATAAACTTTCAATGTGGGAACTTAGTAATACATTGGTTTTGTATATTGATTTTGTTTGTTTAATTCACAGATTGCCTCTCCATCAAATTTAAATGCGCACTTGGACTAGTAGTAAAACAATAGTTCAGCTCCCTGGCTAGAGCTGGGACCTAAATTTAAATTTGTAGATTCCTCCAATCCCTTCATGACATCCCATTTTTCTTTTCTTCTTTTAACTTTTGACATCCATTTGTTTCATTGCAAGCCGTCTCAAGTTTTTTTTGGAAGTTATGATAGAATGAAAGACATTTTAAATACATTTAAAAATATAAAGATGTATATACAATCCTCTTTGGCTTACTTTCTCAGGGTTTAAGAAGCTACTTTAAATAGCTCTATGTGTAAGGCTCAGAGGTGCACCATTGTTTAAGCTAAGTGGGTAACGATTTGGAAACATTTTAGAACAAGGATCTGAGAGTTATGTTTGAAGAAGAGGAAAAAATCTGTGTTGGAAATTTATGGGTAACTTCATGTTACCTAAACAGTTTTTCGTAGATGATCTATAAAACTAATTGGACACCCAAAGAGATTTAGTGGCAAATGAAACTAAGACACCTGTGTTAAAATTAAGCCAAATGAAGAAGCACTTGGTGAGCATCACAAAAATAAAGGGGAAAGTCAAATCACCATTAAGGAATACCACTAGGGAAAATGGACTCAAGGTAAAGTAAGAACATTATTATAATGACATTGTAGAAGTACTGAATCAGTATATTTTTACCTAAATCTATATGACAAGAACACTGTACCAATGCTTCTAGCTAGTAAATTTTAGATCTGCCTTTTCTAAAATGGTGATGGCAGGTGAGTGGTTCAGTTTGTTTCCTCTTGTTAGGGGAATGTTTCCCCTCATTGGCTTGCTCTCTCTCTCTTCATGATCTCCCACCACCCGAAGGACTCTTCTACCACAGCTAATAGAAGGAGAGGACAGGAAATCCATGACAGCATTGAATCATAGTAATGAATTACCTTCTCCCATCTATCATTGACTATCAATACTTCTATGCTTGGATTTTATGTATGCATAATAAATGACTATGATTTAATTGTTATTTATTATTAGGGTATAAAATAGATGTCTTTCTGCATATAAAAAACTGATCACAGGTCTTGGAGTGCCAGGGAACCAGAGAGCTCTGGAAAACTCAGGAAGCTCTAGAAAACTTACACATGGCAGAGGACAGCCAGGATTTTAAAAGAAATGAATTTTTATTTTTCAAAGAAGCCAAGCACCTGGACCTACCTCCAAGACAGGCAGGAAGATACAGTCAATAAACTGGACCAGGCTAGTAGTACGGAGAGACAGGAAGCAAAGAAGCCGCTCAAGAAGACAGAACAGACATGATCTATCTGGTCAACGTTAGAAGACGATTTGAAGTGCAAAATGAACGTCTCCTTACAAAAGGCCCAGGAATTCCTTGAGGGAACATCAGAGTCACGTGGAAGCCTTGCTAAAATACAGATTTCTGGGCCCTACTGCCAGTCTGTATGAATTAGCAGGTCTGGGCTGAGACCTAAGAATTTGCATTTCTAACAAGTTCCCAGGTGTTGTTAGATCCAGGTGTCCCAGGACCTAACAAGATCCCAGTCTGGGGATCACAGTTTGAGAACCATTGATTCGACTTGCACGAATACTTTGAGGCTGGTGACAGGAGGTGAGGCAAAGTAATCAAGTCCCGGTAGAATGGCACTATCAATAGGGACTTGCTGAGCTACCATAAGTACTTCAACCCTACCATGTGTCCCACAGCCACTCGAGACTGTCCTCAACTCCCTAGTACCCCTGGATCCCCTGCACACCTTCAGCTCATGGATCATCAGGCTTCCCAGAGCTGCCCTTCCCCGCAAAACACCACCAGTCCTCACAGGAGCTGCACCCTTCCTTTCAAATTTGGGCCTTCCCAGGCTAGCCTATATGATTCTACCAGCCTTGAAATTCACCTCATAAGGGTCACTGTTTCTTCTCTCCTTTCCTTTTTATCATTTATAGCAAATAAAAAGTCAGTTTTGACCACACAAAAATAAAAACAAAATAATAGATCTACACGGTTTGGATAAAAGCACAGATCTAGAGGAAATTAAATACTTGACTCCTCAGTTCCCACCTCAAAGGAAAAGGAAGAGATCCCATGGGCTATTGGTGATAATACTTCAAAACAAATTACACTGATTATAAATAAAAGAGAGTTTGAGCACACTGTATCTATACCTAGGTATGTAGTAGGAACTGGTGGCAGATGGTACCTGTTTTGGGTCTCAGATTGTGACATATTTTAATGAACATTAAATTCTTATTCACTGCCTGAGTCAGCAGGGGAATTTTACCTCAAATTCTAGACCAGCTGTCAGGTTTTGTTAATTGGCTTAAACTATCAAACGGTAAGACTCATACAAAACATATTTTCACTTTGTTCACAAGCAAGGTGACATAATTTGAATTTTAATAATATTGGAAAATTATTGAGACTTTGCTAAAAGAGTATTTTCATGGTCCTGAGGCTAGTAAAGTCTTTTATTCACTAAAATGTCAACATAGTAGCACATGATCCCTCCAAATGATAGTTCTTGATTGCAGTTCTTTTGTTGTCAAGGAATCAAATGATATGAGGAGTTTTGAAATAGCTTAACAGGGCTGGGCCTGAGTCTGGATGTCTTGGTGCTCAGTTTGACTCTGCGACTAATATTCTATGATATCTTATGCATGCCACGTGTTTTATCCTGGGCCTCAATTTCTTCTGAAATAAGCTGTCTCATTCCTCCTCTTCCTACCCAATGCTACTTAGTTCACTTCTACTAACTGGTCTCCTTCATACCAAAGAATATTCCACAAATGTGACTATGATTGTTATCAAATTCTCAGTGGCTCCCCATCAACTGCAGAACAAAATTACAAATATATCACGGACGTTCTTGCATTCTTTTGATACAAATAGAGATGACTTTTCTGAAATATGTCTTTCGTGGTCAAATCACTCCAGAAAGCATATATATTTTTTTTTTGAGGAATGAATTCTTTTCCATAACAAGCTAGCTTGTAATAAGAAGTAATACATTAGTGAATCTATTTTAAATTAAAAACCTAAGATTAGTAACTATGGAGCAAAAAAATGTACGATACAAATAAATATTTGGTAAAACAGTACCAATTTAACTGGGGAAGTTTATTTAAGATTAGCTTTAAATAAATGATTTGATTATATTATATAATATCAATATAGATATAGATTCATTTAGGTAAAATTATAAAACATTATTTATAACAGACCTTTGTTTTAAATTAGAGTTAACATCAAGTTAGTATTTAATAGAATTACTCTATCAAAAAACAAGAAGAAATGCTGACTATGGAATATTTTATTTGAAAACCTAAGCTCTTGGGGTGCCTGGGTGGCTCAGTCAGTTGACCGTCCGACTCTTGGTTTCGGCTCAGGTCATGACCTCAGGGTCCTGGGATTGAGCCCCACATAGGACTCTGCGCTCAGCTGGGAGTCTGCCTAAGATTCTCTCCCTTCTCTCTCTGCCCCTCCCCCTGTTCATTCTCTCTCTCTCTCTCTCAAATAAATAAATAAAATCTTAAAAAAAAAAAAAGAAAAACTAAGTTCTTAATCTTACACTGCCTTCTCCTTTACAGCAAAATAATAAAGTTCACAGTGGAAGATAAGCTTTAGAAATCTTTTCTAATCCTGTAAGTTTCAACTCAAACTGAAATGTCTTATTGAAGCCCTCCCTGATGTCCTTTTACTGCCAAAGTTCCCTCATTTCTCAAAACACACAGGTACTTATAATTAACGCCCTTTGGGTTGCTTTAATGTTTTTTCTAGTTTTCCAAATGAAGGCATGAGCCCCTTATGTGAGGATAATCATCTCTTATACTTCTCTTATAATTCTCAAAGAATTTAATTTAGACTATTACTTTTCTAAATTTAATTTAATTTTATTTTATTATTTTATGTTAGTCACCATACAGTACATCATTAGTTTTTGATGTAGACTATTACTTTAGGACTACATCTTGTTTACAGCCTTCTAGGACATTCTTAGTGTTACTTTTTTGTTTTAACTGAAATCTTCTTCCAGGTTTGCTGTGTTTTTTCAAAAGTACAATTTTTGTTTTGAAAAACACAGTTGCAAATCTGTCTATATCTTATGGAATTAATGTTCGTATTCTTCCAAAATTCATGAATCGAGGGCTTAAGCGCCCACTGTGGTATTATTAGGAGAAATGGCTTTGGGGAGGTAATTAGGGTTAGATGAGAAGATGAGAGTAGAGCAGCATGATCGGATTAGTGCCCTTAGAAGAAGAGGAAGAGACACCCGATCTTCCTCTATCTCTGCTATGTGAGGATACAGCTAGAAGGTGCTGTCTAGAAGCCAGGAAAAGGACCCTCACCAAGAACCAAACCAGTTGGCACCTTGATGTCATACTTCCGAGCTTTCAGATGTGTGAGAAATAAATGTCTGTTGTTTAAGCCATCCAGTCTGTGATATTTTGTTATAGAAGTCTGAGATGACTAACACAGGAATTGGTACCAAGCAGTGGGGTCCTGCGGTAACAAACCCCTAAAAATGTATATACAGCTTTGAAACAGAGTAACGGGTAGAGGCTGAGAGAGTCCTGAGGTGCATGGTAGAAAAAGCTGAGACTACCATGAAAGGACTCCTAAAGGCAATTCTGGTGAGGGATCTGGCAGAAAAGAGGAGATCTGCAAAGTGTCCATGTTTTTGGAGAGTACACAAATTAAAATGGGCAAAAATATTGGTATAAATATGGATGGTAGAGGTCATTCTGATGAACTCTCAGACGCAAATGAGGAAGCTATCATTGGAAACAGGGGAAAGGAGGATCCTAGTTATAAAGTGGCAGAGAACTTGGCTGAATTGTGTTGATGTTCAGCATTTTGTGGGAGGCGGGACTTGTGAGCGATGGAACTGGATATTTTGCTGCGGCGATATCTAAGCAAAGTGTTGAAGGAGTGGCACGATTTCTCTTGCTTATGGTAAAATGCAAGAATAGAGAAATGAATTGAAGAATAATCATTTGGCATAAAGGCACTAGAATTTAAAAATTTGGAAAATTCTCAGCCTATCCGTATTGCAAAAAAAAAAAAAAATGAGAAAATACATTCGGAAGAGAACACTAAGTGTATGGTTGACTGACCATTTGATAAGATTAGTGTGGGTGGGAACCAGAGACCCAGTCAGCCATCTCAACAGAAGGCAGGACAAGAGATGGAATTATACCAACAGAAACACTGCCAGCTGGGACTAAAGGAAACAGAGAAAACCAGACAGAATGAAGGCGGGCTGCCCAAGAGGTGCAACTGCTCAAGGAAAGGGAAGAATGACGTAGGTGATTCAGAGATCCTAAGAGCTACCACTCCCACCACAGGCCCAGATGGTGGGGTTAGCTCTTCCTGGGTTTCAAAGGGTAGGGCTACATCTCCAGTTCATGGGGCAGGATGTCCCCACCCAGTAGTACCTCGGGAGCGGGGCCACTGCCAAGAGTCCTGTGGGTAGGGCTGCTGCAGAAGGCCACATGGGTGGTGCCCCATGGAACTGAAGAGGTGGGGCCACCTTGTGGAGCTCTGGAGGTGATCCTGTTACTCCAGTGGTCCTGGAGGGCAGTGTATCAGTCCAAAGAGGATTATTTTTGAGGCTTAAGATCTAATGGAATTTTCTTTGCTGTGTTTTAGACCTTTATGGGACCTGTCACCCCTTCCTTCTTTCCTATTTCTCCTATTTAAGACTTCCAGGGCTCACGGGATAGAATGAATGTATTTTGCTTGTGAGAAAGACATGAACTGGGGTGGGGGGTGGTCCATGGGTGTAATGTTATAGACTGGATACTTGTGTCCCCACAAAATTCATATGTTGAACCCTACCTCCATATACACACACAAAATGTGATGGTATCATGAGGTGGGGCCTTTGGGAGGTTATTAGGTTTAGATGAGATCATGAGAGTGGAGACTCCATATTGGAGTTCATGCCCTTATAAGAGGAGGAAATGTGTGAGGGTTGCTCAAAAGGTACAGACTTTCAGTGATAAAGTAAGTGAGTACAGGGAATGTACTGCAGTTAATAATAACATACTGGGGGCACCTGGGTGGCTCACATGGTTAAGTGTCTGCCCTCGGCTCAGATCCCGGGGTCCTAGGATCAAGTCCCGCATGGGGCTCCCTGCTCCTTGGGGAGCCTGCTTCTCCCTCTGCCTCTCTCTCTTTCTGTCTCTGTCTCTCAGGAATAAATAAATAAAATCTTTAAAAAAAAAATAATAACATACCGGGTATTTGAAAGTTGTTAAGAGAATAGATCTTAAAAGTTCTCATCACAAGAAAAAAGCATTGTAACTATGTGAGGTGATGGATGGTAACTAATTGTAGCAATCATTTTGTAATATATACAAACACTGAATCATTATGCTGTATTCCTGAAACTAATATAAAATGTGACATACCAATTATATCTCAATTTTTAAAATTAATTTTTTTAAAAAATGGGAAAAAGACACAAAGTTTCCTCTCTTTCTACCATGGGAGCACAAAGCAAAAAGGTACAGTCTGCAAATCAGGAAAGGAGTCCTCACCAAAAACTAAATCTGCTGGCATGGCTGCCATTCCCAGCCTCCACAAGTGTGAGAAATAAATGTCTGTTGTTTAAGTCACCCAGTCTGTGGTATTTTGTTACAGCAGCCCAAGCTGTCTAAGATAATAGAGTTGTCCCTATTTTAATTAAGAAAGTTTACAATATGCTTTAATTGCAGACTATGATTTAAGCACAAACAATGAACATTTGGTTTAAGATTGAGAAGAATAAAAAGACCAAATAATGGGGTTAATGTAAACTACTGGGTTTGAAAAAAAAAAACAACTTTTGAAAGCTAAAAAATACATACAGCCAGTTTCTGAAGACTTGATAACACTTCACTTTGATCCTTAAAACCAGTTGTGTGAATCTTGTTCACTGCATCTTCTTTTTCTGAAAGCCATGCACTAAAAAGGCACTGAAAGAAATCAAACAATTCCGAAAAAGAAAATAAATAATTACTGAAGTAGATCATTGTATGTTTTCCCTTACCCATTTACCATCTCACCATGTCTTTCACCAATGCAATTTGCCCACATGACTCACCTGTTCATCAGTAAAACGCTGCCATTTTAGGAGGACGTCTTGCAAAAGAACCCAGCGATCTTCGGTCCACCTACAGATGTTCGCCCATCGATCTCCCAGTACCTGTGGAACAGAAAGCCCATCACCACATCAGTAAACAAATAATTGTTAACGAATTTCATTTAAAATTGCATGAATGATTTGTGAAAGCATCTAATTTCGAGTCTCCTAGGTATACTAGGAGTTATAAAGGACACCCTTCCTGCTTTTGCTTATAATTACATAAGCACTACGCCTTTCAATTTGTCTTTAGATTACTTCACTCACTCTTGCAACTGACACCGAAAAGTAAAGATACTAACAAGAAGTCTGAGACAGTTACCATACCACCATTTGAGATGTCTCCACGGCAAATGTAAGAGAGGGAAGACATAGTTACAGAATTAAAGAGGATTTTGCAAAATGGGTATCTTTCTTAGGTTTGAAAATATTTCCTATAGAATAAAAGTCTGTCTACTAAATAGAATACCTAAAGACTCTTCTTTGAAGCAATCCCGTGCAATTAGAATTGCTTAATGCCCCGATTGTAGAAGAAAATTGTTAGTGATTTAAATTACATCCACATGTAGACTTTAAAAATTATCTGGATTATTCTTACAAAGTATTTAAATTCACTCTCTCTCTCTAAACTATTCTAGTGAAAAAAATTGTAATATTCCCTGAGTAGTAATTGCCCTATCTCTAGCATGTTACTCATACTGAGGTGCACACACTATTACTTTTTAATGTGTAATATAAACCAATTATCAACAGTATGTATGTATATATGTATGTATGTAAGTATGTATTTACAGGATGCTGGAGAAAAACATCTTTATTCAAGATACTACCAAAATTCTGGCAAACATTTCAAAAACAGATTTGCAAACATAGTGCTTTCCTTTTCAACTGGCAGCACTTTGAAAAGACAATATGATAAGACAACACAACTTGAATCAACATTAGTTCAAAATCCTTATATTTTTGAATTTTTGACCACATAACTTATGTTTCCATGTGATAAAACAAATGATAGCTTAAATCAATATCAACAGATAAACTCCATGAGATGAAAGTTTGTGCTGTTTGATGACTGATAATATGTTACGGTTAGATGTATCTGCTCTTTTCTTATATTCCTGGCTCCCAGGATGAAAAAGAAATCTTTAAATATCATTTCATGTATGTAAGTTTCTTTGCATATCTCTCTTCAAAAAATACTTTATAGGAGTATATAAGTAGGTTACCTAGATGTTTAATTTTATAATTTTGCACCAAAACTACAGACCTGTTACATTTTCTTTTTTTTTAAGATTTTATTTATTTATTTGACAGAGAGAGACACAGCGAGAGAGGGAACTCAAGCAGGGGGAGTGGGAGAGGGAGAAGCAGACTCCCAGCTGGGCAGGGAGCCCAATGCAGTGGGGCTCGATCCCAGGACCCTGGGATCATGACCTGAGCTGAAGGCAGACAATTAACCCACTGAGCCACCCAGGCACCCCTCTGTTACATTTTCATAACACAGTGATTTTGTCCAACATTAATAAAGCTGAAAAACTATTGAAATGGACATGCTCTTGTCTCTCACAATACAAATAGCACTTTGCCAGAAAAAGAAACCCCTTCAGTAGTAAACACTCATCAGTTGTTTAACCTGAGTGTTTGGCCTATTGAGAGTGGTAGCCTTTTTTCCTTCATGTATGCTCACATCCACACCACTCTGCACCATCACACACTCTGCACACGCCCAGATCGAGCATATGGATTCATACGCAAGGAGACCATAGTCCCACATCGGGCTCCTTGCTCAGCGATGTGTCTGCTTCTCCCTCTGCCCCTCCCCATGCTCATGCTCTCTCTCTCTCTCTCTCCCTCCCAAATAAATAAAATCTTAAAAAATCATTTCTAATGACAAACACAAGTTTTTAAGGAAAAGAAGTTGATTTGAAGTACAGACACTGGATCCCCAATATTAAACAAACTTATTTCTATTGACAAACCTAAGTCTTAGGGTGCAGTGGGAGGACCAGAAAATGCACCTTCAAAATTTCAGGGAAGCAAAGTACAACAGGGAAAATAATAAATAACTCAAGTTTACTAACACTGAAACTTTCAACAAGCAAAGTTTCATTTTTTAAAAAAATCTCATAGCAACTCATTTGGAATTTTAAATAAATAAGCTTAGATTTATTCACAGCTTCTGGTCCAAGCAGAGGTCCCGTGCCATGAGTCTGCTTGCTCTCGGTCAAATTCACCGCTTAGTCTTCTGATGGGAGTCAGCTTGTTAGGAAGTTACTTGCATCTGTATTTTTCTTCATGAGAATTGGGACTGGACTGCTTCATCTTCTGATATTCTCATAAGACTTCTTCATCAACATTCTGATACTCTTTTGAGCCTGAAGAAAGCTGCCTTTGTTGTGTATCCAGTTTGATAAATCTTCCAGCTACAGTCTCCATCCTGGAATGCAAGGCCCTGTACTCATCATACTCAGTACTGAAGCCATCCTTGTCTCACAGGAGACAATAGCAATATATTTTGTCAAATAATCTGGGAGTTCAATTGTTGAAGAAGGCTCAGTGGAGGCAGCACAACCCTCTTTAACTCCTTCAATGGAATCAGGACTGGAGTTATTCAGCTTCGCAATTTCCTCTTCTCTTTTAAGGTCCTCTTCCTTTTGTTCAGTTGTCTCAAGGTCGTGCGTTTTAATTTGGCTCCTTTCCTTCTGTTTTTAGACTTTTTTGGACTTTTTCTGAGACACTGAATGGTCTTCCTCCACAGGCTTTGGACACTTCAGTAGAAGTGAACCAGAGTTAAGGTTTCCAGAGAAGTCCTGGAGGTATATTTGTCTTGCTAGTCCTGACAGATACTTGTGTTTTGACTAAAACTGTCAACAGGTAGGTGTTGAGTCCCCTGGCCTGCTGGAGTGCTAGGGGAAGTGGAGCTAGAATTTACGATCTGAGGAGGATTGGAGCTGGGCCGGTGGGTTGAAGGCGGCGGAGGGGTAGGGCTGGCAGCGGCTGCAGGGGACAGCAGGAGGCCTGGAGCAGATTGTTCACTGGTGGGATTCAAGTGATCATTTAATGTTGGAGGCACTTGACCTGTTAGGTGAGATATTCAAGTTTATTTATTCATTAAAGGATCAATGAAATCTGAATCTCAAAGCCGATTCTGAGGAGAAGATGCAGCATCTCTTCCAGAACATGCAGGAGATTCTGAATGGCCGGTGCTTGCAGCATTCTGAGACAGAATGAGCGTGCTCGAGAGCTCTGCCTAACGACCTCTGTCTGTGTCTATTTCACCATATCCGGGCCAGTCTCTTCGAAGCACTTTTAAAACATAATCCTTTAAGGTATATGAGAGGTCTGTAGGATTCAGATTGGCTACCTGTTGCAGAATTGCTCCGAGAGAGCTTTTTTTTTTTTTTTTTTTTTTTGACTAACACCGTGTTTCTGCAGCGGAGCCGGCAGCGTGGGTTTCCTGTAGGCCTTCGGGGCCAGTAAGTGAATCACCCTGTCCCTATGTTGCCGCTGAAAAACACTGGGGCTGCCATGTGTCTTTTGAATCATATGTGCAAGGTTTGTGGGAGTTGACCCCTTCCTCTCAGGCACTACATCTGAAACAGCTTGAGGTGCTTTACAAATCTGCACTCTTGTCCCTACATAGGGACCCCCGGTTTGATCACTTCTGTGCTTCGGTCATGGGATTCCTCCGCCTGGCTCATTCTTCCTCGTGTCATCTCATACGAGTCGTTTGGGGCACCTGCTGTACCTTGATTGTGTATAAATCCTGGGCAATTGAGCTGGGAGGCTCCAGAGCTAGAGAACGTTGGCTGCATGCAGTCAAAGCTGCCCCGAGGGTGGTCTTCACCCACATTTGACCAATAGGAGTTAAAGGCATACACTTCATCGAGGGGATCTTTTTTAGGAATTTTGACAAGCCCTTGGAGCCCTTGGAACGGAATTAAAGGTCAAAAAGGAATTAAATTCTTGTGGCTCTGGTAGGTCTCGAATGCCCAGATCGCCATCTCAGTGAGCTTCACAGGTAGTTGGGTGATGTTTTGCCCAAGTTGCCTCCATGACAGCCTCTAGCGCTGCCCCCCCCACTCCCCTGGGCTCTAGCCTTCAGGGCGGCCCTGGCTGCTCCAGCTTCTGCAGCCACAGTTATCCCGCTCCTCAGGTACTGTCATATACCCGACTACCAATGGTTTTTAGATGGGGAAAAAAATAAATAAAATAAAAAAATATATATATAATGTGATGATTGCTGTGTAAAGGGAATGCTTTAGGACAAAAAATATGTATCATTTATTTTAATTCCATTATGATGCCCTTCACAGTCTTAAACTTCAACTTCTTGACTTTAATATAAATAAGAGAATTATTTTCCCATAGCCACTAGATCTTTACAATGGGAAGTACCTCAAGATAGAGATATGTTTTATTTTGTATAGAATTAGGGCTACAAAAAATGTAACTCATATTTTTTACAAATATATTTGGTATCTAAAATAATAAGCCTTGTCATAATTTCTAGCATACTTGATGCTACATGTTGGGATTGATCCACCTAGAACATATTAAAATATGACTCAAAAAATACAAATGTAATTAGCATCATGAAAAAATCCACCTATTTCTAAGAGGCTTGAAGACCCACCCAATTTCTTAAAAACTGTCAATCCTACCATCTTTTCAAAAAGGGAGTACCATGCATGAGTCAGGAGTAGGCAATAAACATTTTACTAACAACATTATGAAAATGATCATGTACTCATATGCATCTTAGTCACAAGTGAGTTTTCAGTTTTTCTTCAGAAATGTCAATAAAAATGTTATTGTTTTCAACATAATGTAATGATTTTCATACTTTTTATAGTTTCACTCTCTACTCCTTTCGAATGATGTTAGTTTGAGGCAGAAGCCATAGCACTGAAATAATAATGCAAGATAACCAAAGGAAACGTGCTAACATAAACCAATGAATTCAACAACATTAGCCATTTAATTATTACAACGAAGTATTTGGGACTTTTTTTCTGAAACATATTAGAAGCTCTTTAAGTGAACTTCCTAGTGACCATGTC